GAAAGAGCAGTGTGACAATAAGGGCTCTGGACAGAGAAGCCTGCTGTGACGTGGGGTCCCCAAGAGCTCAGAGGGATCAGGCACCAGCATGGGGGAGGAGCTGAGACGGGGGAGCTCCCTGCGGAACAGAGTTTCCACTGAGCTGCAGTGCCAAGCGTGGCTCCCCCTTGACCTAGAGCTCTGAACCGGGGCCTTCCGTGCCAGGGCAGCCCAGCCCAACACACAGTCACTGCCTTCCCTCTATCTCACCGGGCATGTCGGAGACGAGGATGGGGGTGGTCAGGAACAGAGGAGAAAAAAGTACTAAACAACAAGAAAGCAAACGAAGAGACCAGAACAAATGAGCAAGGGCACAAGCCCCTTGGATCCCTCTGGCCACACTGAGATTTTACCAAGGAGAATGTCAGCCGTGTGGACAGGAGGCCCAGCCGGCGCGGAAGGGAGGCTGGAGGCGGAGGCGAGGAAAGGGAGGTGCGGTGAGGACAGACTCTTCACCTCGAAGTCATCAAAACGCTCCTCCGTACCATTCTTTACAACAGCAACTTACTGAAGCAGCAGTTAATAGAGGAGCGGAGTTCGCGAAGAGGCTACAAAATGTCCACCTCGTGTCCCATCCGCTGAGCTGCAGAAACGTGTTGCTTAACAGTTTGTAGGAGACCGTGGTCCAGCCCAACCCTGATGCCAGACTCCGCACCCCGCCATGCAGACTAAGGTCCTCCTCTGAAATGTCCTGAGGATGCAGCTGTGTAGTGAAGAAGGGGCTTTACCCGTATAGAGGTCTGGCCTCTGCCCTCAGACACGGGGGGTGACCTCTAGGCCCCTGGAAGGCCCTGCCTGACAGCAGTGCCCATGTGCACAGGGGCTTTAGCCACAGGACTAACACTGTGACTTGTTTCAGGGGCTCTGCAACAGGTCAGGTCAGTTCCGACCTCTGGATGAACTGGAGAAGAGAGGTATTAGTCTGACCCCCAGGAGAAGCTGGAGACTGGGGGACAGCCACGTGAGCAGTGGGTCATCAAGCCCCAAACATCTCTGGACACCAAAGCCTCGGGCGAGCGTCCCTGGTTGGAAATACTCGAGTCCTGTCATGTAACGTAGCCAGAAGAAGGCAGTGGCGTCCAGGACACCACGGGTGTAGGAGGGGGACCGAAAGCCCCTTGTCTGGAACCCCGCCCCCCGGTCCCGACCTCACCCAGGCATCTCCCCCTTTGGGTCGTTCTGACCTGTACCCTTTTGGTTTAGAACCGTCATCACAAGTATAGTGCTTTCCTGAGTTCTGTGAGTCGTTCTAAGAATAAAATTATCCAACCTGAGGGAGTCCTTTGGGTACCTCAAGCTTGTACCTAGCTGCAGAAGTGTGGGTGGCCCTGGGAACCCTCATATTTGTGGCTGGCGTCAGCAATCCTGGGCAGACGTCAAAGACTTGCAGAAACCGTGCCCTTCCCCTCAGGTTCAGATTCGGCACTCATGGCAGCAGGGTACCCAGCGCCCTCTCCCCGGGGACACCCAGAGCAGGTGGCAGCCGCGGTGCCCACGGGTGCAACCCCTCTCCCAGCACAGCGGGAGTGCAGCACGGCCGGCCGGACCCGAGAGTCATGCGTGTGTCTCCCCACAGGCAGGACCCCCTGAAGACTGAGTCCCGTCCCGATGGCTTTTTATGCCCCAGCATGTGACCCGGTGTCCCACCCAGTGGGCACCCTGTAAATCGTGGTGATTGCACCCCAACAAGCAGGGTGCAATCTGCCGTCAAGGAAGAAACATAAAATCAGCCCTGAAAGCTCTGGAAAACCTCTAACACAACGGTGACAAAACTAATCTTACATCTTGCTGCATCCATAATTCAGATCCTCAAGACCAATCAGTTAGCTAAAAATGAAATATTCATAAATGAACTTGGAATCATTTAAGCACTGAAAACGAGTTGCTGCTGTCAACTACCCCCATGGTACAGAAGAGCGGAGAAGCCTAGAACTGGGCGAGGAAAATCCTGTCGCCTCTAAATCGACACATTTTAATGGCGTCTGAATGGAGGAAATTTCAATTCCTGTTCCTGTTCCCTGAATTCCTCTACTCAGGCATCACTGAACTCTGTGGATTTTGTCCTGAAGACACCTGCCCGCACACCCCGTCTCCACTCACCTAGACCCCTGCACAGCATCTCAGAGTCCAGCTTTCTGCTCTGGTCTCTCTCAGCCTCCACCCCCTGTCTCACTGCCACTCTCTTGCTCTAGAACTTTCCATTGTTCTTGAGGACTTTGCCCCACGACTCTGAGACCTGGCTTTCCAGGCCCTTTATCACACAGTTCACCCTACACATGTGCACACGCGTGCACAAACACACAGAAACACACACGCACGCACGCACGCTCGCTCTCTCTCTCAACCACTCAGGGCAGTGTTCTAGGCCTCCCTAAATATGCAGAGGGAACACCTGCCTCTTTTTTACTTCCCTGTGCTGTGCGCCCTCCTGCACCCCAATCAGAACCCTAGCTCCAGGCCCAGTTCACATCTCAGTACCTCCTCTGTGAGGCAGCTCAGCCGACCCTGGCTGGCCCCGCAGTTGCGTGTAAGGCACACACGTGTGCAAGTTCACCCACACCATTTCCTGACTGTGTTGCTCTCCCCCCACCTTCCATCATACACCCTGAGGTCCCACAGGATCTCGGGCAGAGCTGGAGACGTAGCAGATACTTAATACAGAAATACACGTTGATCAGCCGCTTAATAGGAAAAGATGCATTTCGAAAACAAGGCATTTCCTAGGTCCCAAGTTTCCAACAGGAAGAAAGGGGCAAGCCACGGTGCACCTCGACCCCGTCCCAAATCCATTACTGGGGACAACTTCCTCGTAGGCAGAAAATTATCCTTGTAGATCCAAGACCTGACCTAGCAAGGGACAGAAAGAATCAGCCCAAAAGATGACATGAGCATTATGAAAGAAAACTCAACATTATCAAAAATCTAATAATATAAGCCCTTTATTTGCACATCACTCAAGTTTGTGAGGCACTTTCCCAGCTATTATCACATTTTATCCTCATAAAAACCTTCAGAGATGGATGCAGCAAATCTAACTCCTCAATAGGAAAAGAAATGAAGGACCGACCCAAAGGCTGAAGGGACTTGGCACATTTTCCAGAACCTTCCACTGAGCTGGCAGACCCAGGATCTGGGTTCCTTCTTCACCGCCCAGATCTTTCTGCTGAGTCTTGTGGCCCTCGGGTCAGTTCTGAACATGGTAGTGGAGCCAAGAGGTGCACTGCAGAGAACAGCAGCTGGGAGTTAGGCGGGCCTAAGTTCAAATCCCCGCC